ATGAAGAGGAAGTTGATAAAGAGAAGAAAGCAATGGAAAGTGACCAAAATGAAAATGATCAAACACAAGGTGCTTTAGAAAAACCATTATCTCCGTTTCCTCAAAAATTAACACAAGGTCCTTTAGAAAAACTATTACCTCCGTTTCCTCAAAAATTAAAACAGAAGAATAAAGATAAATAATTTATAAAATTTTTTGAAATCCTTAAGAAGTTAACGATAAATATTCCTTTTGTTGAAGCTTTGGAACAAATGCTAAGTTTTGTGAAATTTATGAAGGATGTACTAAATAAGAAAAGGAAGTTTACAGATCATAAGACCATTACACTCAGTGAAGAGTGTAGTGCTATTATTCAGAAAAAGCTTCTTGAAAAATTAAAAGATCTTGGTAGTTTTACTATACTCTGTTCTATTGGTGAAAAGTTTTTGGAAAAGCTTTATGTTATTTAGGAGCGAGTATCAATTTTATGCCTTTATCGATCTTTAAACGTTTAGATTTAGGAGAGATTTCCCCTACTACTGTAACTCTTCAGTTAGCTGATCGATCAATAACTTATCCAAAAGGAGTTTTAGAAGATGTATTAGTAAAAGTGGATAAATTTATTTTCCATGTAAACTTTATAGTATTGGATATGGAGGAAGATAAAGAAATCCCTATTATTTTGGGGAGACCATTTCTTGTAACATGGAGAGCTGTGATAGATGTGCAAAAAGGAGAATTAATAATGAGAGTTAATGATCAAGATGTAACATTTAATATTGCAAAAGCTATGAAATATCCAATAATAGAAATATATAATGAATGTTTTAGGATGGAAGTAACTGATTATCCAGTAATAGAAATATCCAGTAATAGAAATATCTAGTAATAGAAATATATAATGAGCAATTTAAGAATGAGTTTGAAGACAAATTAAAGCAAGGAGAATTTTTTAAAAATAAGGACGAAATAAAAGAAGAAGATTTGGATTATATTCAAGGCAAATTTGAAACTTTAGACTTGTTGGAAAACGATAATAAAAATCTTATTCCTTCAAGTATTAAATCGCCTGAACTTGAACTAAAAATATTAGCTGCCCATTTAAAATATATGTTTTTAGGAGAGTCATCTACATTACTTGTTATTGTATCTTCTGAAT